TTCCTCGTTCACGTGTTCAGCAGCAGCAGCAGCACCTAATGAGAGGAAACCAAGCCCAGCAAACGTGTCTGCCGGGGCAGACGAGCATTTCAGTGCCCCTCTACAACAACCCCATGGTGTTTTCGCCAACACATCCCATTACGGTGGCTGCACAGCTGCCGACTGACGGCAGTGAAAGGCCACCACAGTCGGACTACAGCCAGGACAGGAGCCTCAGGTACGAACATGGCCCTGCTGTGACCGTCCTGATGGCGGTGAGGGCAAACAGCAATACGTGGGCAGCGGGGAGGGCAGGCACGTCTGGGCTGGGGGGTGATGGCCTCTGGGTGCCACAGCAGGGGCGTGGGGATGTTCCCCCCTGCAGAGACCTGGGTTAGTGGGGAGGCCGGTGTGCGTGCAAGCAGGGTGCTGTGCACGCCGTGCCATACCCTCAGGGGCCCGCAATCCTTTTCTTTCCGTAGTTCCATAAATTGTCCAGGTAGCTCAGTAGCCTTTGGACATCTGCTGCTGTCAGAGGGAGTGAACAGGAAAAACTAGCAGGGACAGCCTTTCCCAAACCTGTGTCTGCTTGCTCTGAAACTCCAGAGTATCTTTTCTCCAGCCAGGACAAGTGCCATGGCAAAGCCATTTTTCTTTTATACAACGCTGGAAACATTGTCTAAAACATATACAACTGCCCCAAACTATTCAGCCACCTTTCAGGGAGGTATCTGCAGACACTGCCTCCAGGATCCAGCCGTTTTGAAATATTGTGTAAGGAAACAAGATAAACCCTAGAGGTCTCCCCATCTGTAAAACATTTCCTACATGAAAGATTTCGCAAGTTTCAGCTCACCCCTGCGAGTGCATTAGACAAGGTGCTAATAAGCATCCTATTTCATTAGCTTTTTTCTGGGTGATGGTTTGCATGCTTTCAGGGAGGATTTTCAGGGATTTGTTTCTAGAGACTGACAGTCAGGAGTTTGGACCTCTCCCTTCCCTGACCGTCCTCCGTTTCTCCTCCGGCGCAGGATGCTGTTGGATCAGTCTATCCAAGCCATGATGCCCGCGGCCAACGGCAGTGGCCAGTCCACGCAGAGCAGTGCCAGCAGGCAGCAAGGAAAGTGAGTCTTTGCTGGCCCTTGTTTTCATGCAGAGTTTTAAGCAGGACACTTTATGGCACTGGAAACTACTTTGAAAAACTTGTATGCGATCATGCAAACACAAATAGTCTCCGTCTTAAAAGAAACAAAAGCTCAGTTGGTTAGGAGAAAAAGTAATTAGAATATTTTTTTAATTACAAAGAACTTTATGATAACTAAAATGCTTTGAAAAAAAATTTTTTAACCATTTTCTAGCTTTTGCAAAGCTTAAGATGCCTAATCAAATCATGGAAGAGATGTACAGCCTTAAAAAAACCTTTAATTTTCTGCAGTTCCAGTCCATGCTTGATGGGCAGGGGGAAATCTGGGGCCTGCTTTCGCCAGGCTCTGTGTGATTTGACAAACCCTGCTCCAGCCTGGTTCCTGCAGCACCTGGGCACCCCAGGGCCCACGCCGGTGGTGGCTCTGGGTTTGGCTTCTCCCACCTTACTTTCCTCCTCGTTGCAGATTCGTTGCAGAGCAGCAGATCTTGCCTCCCCCAATACAGATGCAACCGATTACCTGTAGCACTGTCCGACCTCCAGCCCCGTCGCCTGTTTTCTCCCCATCTCTGATGATCCCACACACCAGCTTCACATCCCACCAGGCAAACACACCGGTTCATCTCCACCAGTGGCCACAGCAACAGGTTCAGCCGCACCGGCTCTACCTTCAGGTAATGGAGCTGGAACAGGTTTGTGAGGGATGCACAGGGATGGCTTTGAGGTTGGGTTGGTTTTTTTGAAGAAATGGGGCTTACCTGACTAATCAAACCTGGTCAGTGCACTCGCACGTCCTCCGTTCCCATTGGATTTGCACGTACCCAGGTGCTCAGCCTTGCCGGGTTGGCTCTGCACCCATGCAAGGCCGTATTTTCCAACAAACTCAGTTATCACTTAGTGTCCAGAAGAAATATCCAGTTTTTCAAACAGAGCTTGTCATCCAGAGGGAGCTCTGGCAGGAATCTTGCTGTAGATGTGAAACATGATAAGGGATAAACTCTTTTGAAAACATGCCTCCTGCTGTTACGTCTCAACATAGCAAGGGTTTTTTATCAGCTGCCATCACTGCTTTCTTTTAATAAATGGGTGTTTCACAAGAGAAATCTCTGGAGAAGGTGATTTTATTTTTTTCAAAGCACAGCTTCGTCAGTGCATGCCAAACGAATGATGCTGCCAAGAAGAGGGGTTGTTGAAACTTACAATTAATTAGTAATACACTCTCCAAGACTTGCCTGGTTGGCAGAGGTAAGTTACGGTCCTCCAGGCAAGGACGGTAGAAAACAAAGCAGGAGGAGTAGTTGCAGCAGAAAGTAGCCATGCAGCAGGGCTGGATTTAGAGTAAGAAATGAATCATTGTTGTCAGCAAATGTGGACGTGAGCTGTCCCCAAATAGCTCCAGGCCAACGGAAAACCAGGCTTTGGTGCCACAGTGCCTTTATCGGGGCGTGAAGCAGCAAGTCCAGGTCTTTCTTTGGGGCACCGGCATCAGGGTGATACATGGACAAGGTCACTCTACAACCTCTTCACTGGTTGCCTGAAGATCCTTCCCATGGAAGATGGAAGTTGCACATCCTGCAGATTTTACCTCCCATCCAAGTAGCTTTTGAAGG